GAACTCACAGAGATCCGCCTGCCTCTACCTCCCAAGTGCTGGGACTACAGGCATGTGCCACCATGCCCAGCTCAGGTAATTTGATTTTTAAAAATTTTATTTTTATTCATGTGTATGTATGTTAGGGAGGGGCTACGTGCATGTGCGTGGGTACCCACAGGAGTCAGAAGAGGCATCAGATCACATGGAATTACAGGCAGTTGTGAACTACCCCATGTGGGAGCTGGGAACTGAGCTTGGGTCCTCTGTAAGAGTAGTACTCACTTTTAACCACTGGGCCATCTCTCCCTAGCCCCAGCAATTTGTTACAGCAATGAAAAATAGTCAAATAGAAAAAGAGTAGAGCAAAGAATCTGTAGCAGAATGACAAAGGACGAGTCTGAAAACAACTTCCTGTGTCCTTTCTTTGTCATATGTGCGATCAGAAGTAGCCCTGCCCTCACTAATGCAGCTTTTCTCTCTTGTACAGTAACTAGCAATTAATCATTGGGAAATTTCAGGGGAATGGTTCATGTAGACTGGTAAACTTCCAGTTGCAAGTGATGAAAGTCCAACTCAAATCGGCTTAAGCTAAATGTAAAGGCTGTGTCAGCGTTTTATTGACTAAGAAGTCAGAAGTGTGTATGTGGGTTTCAAGGCAAGGAATAATCCAAAAGTTCTATATCAGCTGGGCTCTGTTTCCATCTTTGAGCTCTATTTTATTTCTTCTGCATACAAACTTTATTTAGGTGACCAAGCAAATACATTCTACATGATAAATTCTACAGTTTTAACTCCCTCATGACTGCCTTCTCAAAGAAGATGGCATTTTCCTGTTGGTCAGACAAGAACGATCACTGCACACATGCAAACAGTTAACACCTGCTTTCTGTATCTGACGGCCTTTGTAAGGGCCACAAATATTTTCCTGTTTTGGGTGGTCACCTTCTGTGGTATGCAGCTGTCAGACTTGCTTCTGTTGTCCCATCAAGGAGTTTGCCCCTTGGAAAGTGAGGCCTTCGGTTCACTGCCTTC